TTTTGCTTTCAGACTAATAATGATTGTCGTTCTTTTGTTTGATTCGACGATGAATTACCCCCTATCAAAAATACTGTTATCTAAAGTTGAAGTCTGAAAAGATCATTTTGGAGGAGCAATTATCAAACAAAGAAGCCTTGGATGCTTGCTTAAACAGAAAATTGCAAACAGGCAACGAAGATAAACACTGTACGTGCCAAAAATGCAGAGCAAGAAATGGTTATATCATCCTTAAATGAGAAAACAAAGCAAATGAAAAGGATGATGCTCGTCTCCTTAGTGTGTTGTACAATCTTGATTATGTTTTTTAAGGATTTCTGTAAGAAGCGTGATTATAATGATCTCGTGCTATGTTCTTCCCCATTGTGTTACATTAAGAAGAATTTGGGTTCGAATTTGAGTTGCTCTGAAGGGTTCTATCAACCTTTGTCTACTATTTAAAATTATGCCTCATCAGAGTAACACCTTGATCGAACATGTATTTATTGTTCTAGAGTTTGTACACTTTATGGCTCTAAGGTACGAAAAGATGCAGTGATTCAAGCCGAGGAGCTGATTGAGTATCTTTGTTGTACTTTTATTGACGTATAATTTCCCTACAATCACATGTTAAGGTGATACAAATTCGCAGTGGTCCAATGAACTGTGGATGACTTGAATGTGGGGTAAAATTTCAGATCTGTCAGGATGATTGTGTGAGCTTAGTATGTATTTTTTCTAATGACAAGTATACGTAAAATCTGAGTTAAGAAGAAAAATGGCTTGTTTTGATTTCTCTGCATTGTGTTAGTCAAGTGTCTGTTAGTTATCAACATTAATTGAAGTAATTTAGTAATTTGGGGTTTTGAGCCTTGAAGATAAAGGATATTCAAGTTTTATTAATTTTTTTACTATGTTGGGTGCGGAAATTTTTAGTAACATGTAAAACAATGAAATTCCTCTCAAACATTGGTTGTTGTGAACATGTTTTGTTATGATACTATGGTTGTTTTTGGGATGTGGGGAATGTGATCCAAACAATGTATGATCCTTGTTGGATATTTAAGTGTTACTATATTTTGGTTGGAAATTTAAGTGTTACTTTATTTTGATTGTTTATTAATCTCTAATGGCACCAACAATGAGCAAAAAATAACTAGAAAAACAGCAGGGCTTTCAAACTTAGTCCATTGCATTCATGAAATGAACAATGCATCACAGCATTACATTGTTTTAGAAGATACCAATACACCATTGCATTATATTGTCCACAAAATAAAAAAGAAACTTCCATTGCATTCACAAAAGAGATACATCCATTACATTCACAAAATGACTAAATACAACATTGCACACCCATTACACTTCAAGTACATCTATTTCAACTAGTTTCAGTCAATACACAAGCATACCCATTACACTTCAAGAAGCATAGAACAATCAAACCAATAATTGCAAACAACATGAGCCTCTCCCATTTCTTCCTTCTTGCAATATCTTCTTCCAACTTTTTGGCAATTTTCAGAAGCCCGAGAATGAGTTATTGTGCTCTATGACACATTGGAGGGTCAACCCAAACATGGTATGTGCACCCACCCAACATCTTGAATTCAAAAAAATAAAAAAATAAAAAAAAAGTTGATAATTTTGAAAAAAGATCCCCAATTAAACTCGCAAACTGAAATCAATAGAATAAATAGAAACCCTAGACACTCACCCGGTATTTCTCGCACGCTGAGTACCTCCACCCTGCATTACCATCAACCCATGACGTCTTTCGCACAGTAGGCTTCGCACAATGACAGAAGTCATCGATTAGCTCCTCCGAAATTTGTCGGAAATTTTTCTGAATTCCAAATTGAAAACCCTAGAACAAAAGAGGGAAAAATTGGAGAATTTGGAGAAAATTCTCTCGCAAATGATCGGGAGTGGAGTATTTATATAGAGCTCAAAACCGGTTTCAAACAGGTGAAACCAGAATTAAACCTGGTGTGGGGGGTAAATTGACAAACCCTTGTAGTTTAGATAGTGGTTTGCAGGCAAAAATAAAAACTAAAAAAAAATCATATGGTGATGCGCCAAAAACGTGATAGTTCAGATGGAAAAAAGTTATTTACCCTACAAAAGTAAATTGGATGCATTACAAGATCAATAGATATTCCAATAGTTTAAGTTCAATCATTAACACACACACGTCAGTATTTTCATTACAATCCAAAAAGAAGACATGAACTTACACCTATGAATACAAAAAGAATAACACCCTAAGGACGATAAAGGTGAACACACTGCAAGTTTGATATTAAAGGTGCTAAACATGTCAACACCACATATATTCTACCATTGAGTGCTACACATTTATCGGTTTATAGACTAGGGCAATGGATACAGGATTCATGAACTTAAAAATCTAGAAACTGCAATAGCATGAATCTTGCAGGTGAACATGATAAACACGGCTAATGAATTCCACAAATAATGGGGCAATAGAGATGCCTAATATTCCAATAAGAGCACCAATGTAAGACTTCTATCTACTCCAACAAATTATAGTTCTTCATATCTACAAAATGCAGAGCCTTTCAATATGTACCTGTTAAATTTGAAATTTGTTGTGATATTGCCTCTACAAAATCCAATAAAAACAAAGTTAATAAGAAATTTTAGTTTTATTCGAAATTGGATTTTTCATGGATAGGAAATACTTCCCCTTCGCCATTTGACCCCTCTATATCGTTGAACTACTTGTCTCTTGTAAAATAAAAAAAGAATCAACACACCCACTTGCATTAAAAAACTGGTATAAATTTGTAATGTCACAACAAGAAATGAAAGTAACCAATTCCATATGACAAATATGTTGAATTCGCATATCGATACTCTACTGATTTTTTTGATATGAACTTACTGGTACACTTCCCCTTGGCCGATAAAAAATCCTTTCAGTGGACATGCGATTGTTGGGTCAGTTGCAAGAATCAATTCGCCCTTGTCCAAGTAGTCGATGACCTAGATCGACGGCGAAATCATTTTTCTCGTACGCCCTTTGGTTTTTTGGTCTTTTCACACGAGGGCATAATTGGAAGTTCAAGAACAATATTTTGAAAATCCCAACTGAAAATGATGAAGTTTATGCAACCAAACAAATGAAAAGTTGTAATCCTTTGACCCAAATATGAAAGTAAACATGATATTAAGGGAGATATAATACCTCTTTTTACCTGGGGCCCACGAGTGTGGTTATATCAAGCCTAATCCAAAAATGCTACCAATACCAACCTAAGAGTTTGATGTTTGCCAATATATCGTACATTTTCTCAATAGAGACCGATATAGTGAATTAATAATCAAAATTGTTCAGTAAAAAACCCATCATACTTAAAAAAATGTAATTTATGTTATCAAATGATATATTTTTTAATTTTGTTGTTTTTTAAAGTATAATATTTAATTTAAAATATATATAATTAATATCTAATTGGTTTGATTAATATCTAATTGGTCCAACATTAATCAACGCGTAAATATCCATATGATAAGAAATATATATTTTTTTTTTGCTATTGTCTATTGACCTCACCACCGCTTCCGTCTTTGTTGTATCAAGAAAAGTTCAATTTATAATTAAACTACGTGATAATTAACGGTGATAATTATCGAAGATAAAAAAACCCTAATGAACCCCCCGATTACAACAGTCAAGTTGCCGGATGATCCCCAGCTTGATCCTCCTGATTTGCGTAACAAAGAATTTCCCCAGCCTAATGATGTGTATTCGCAGCCTTCTACGGTGTCTAAGAAGCGCCGTTTAGTTGGTACTTTTGAACGCCATTCGGAGGAACCAATTCAGACGAATATCCCAGTTACCCCTCCGCCTGCTTCACCAAAGCTGAGTTTCCGGATCTGTTAAACAAGAATCGCCCACATGTGAATGTGTTACCCGCCAGGGAGTGGGATGTACTTTTGGAAGGGAGCATAACGGTGGTGGTGAATGGACGTTCGGGAAAATTTTCTTTCTCTGACCCGTTTTGGGCATCGCTATTGCAGGACTGGAAGTACCCCGTAGTAGTATAACTTTTAGGCCATTTCGTCTCCCCCTTGATGATGCATAATTGTTTATCCACGTTATGGCCCTCGATTCGGGGCAACCCTATGATGGACCTTGAAAATGGCTACTATGTGGTTGGGTTTGACACTCACGAAGATCATATGAAGGCTCTTACGGACGGACCATGGGTGATCGCTAATCACTACCTCCATGTCCAACTATGGACGGTTGATTTTGATGCGACGGATATCAGAACTTAATCAGTGGTAGCTTGGATTCATTTTTCGGGCCTCTGGGTGCAGTTTTATAAACACTAAGTATTCAAGTCGATCAGACAGATCATGGGCAAAGTGGTGAAGATTGATTACCAAACCGCTGCACGCATTCATGGAAAATATGCTCGTTTAGCCTGTCTCTTAGATCTTTCCCAGCCACTTTGCTCGGGCTTTGAGATAGGGGGGAGGCTCCAACGGGTAGAGTACGAGAGTTTGCCGGATATATATTTCACTTGTGGCATGTATGGACACGTGGCTGCTCTTTTCCCGAATTCGCGAGAAGCTGATGGTGCTGGCTGGCAAGAGTCTTCGCCTACTGGAGCGCCAATCGATGCACAGGAGGGTCCTAAGAAGTTTGAACCGGCTCAACCCATACTACACAAAGGCCCAGGGCCATGGATGATGGCACAAAAGAAGACTAGACCATACTCTTGGTCACAACCGAACCGGGACACCCCCTCCAAGGTACCTGGAGGTTCTTTGGGTTCAGGATCGCGCTTCGACTCGTTACACACGGGGGGAGAGGAAGATCAAGAGGAACAGAATCGGAGCGGTCCTAGTAGTGAGTTGGTATTTAAAGCACAGGCTAGGGGCAAGGAGCCTGGGATCGGGCCAAAGGAGTGGAGGCCCAAAGGGAATAACCGTGAGAAATCTAAGTCAACTCAGGCGATAAATAATGGGAAGGTTAGCGTGGGCGCCCAATCAAAAAGTACTACGAAAACTGCGGTCATCCAAGGAATGAGTGACGCTATGGGTCGCGAAGACACAATGAGGCGAGTTAGTGGGACACATACTAAGGGGAAGGACGTGGCCCAGGATGATCTTCTCATGGTTTCCGTCACTAGCAAACTAGACCCTACCAAGCACCTGGCAGTTTCATTTGTCAGCCCCAACCTCGTAGAGCATGCTATGGTGGTAGATTCTCCTACACCGAGTGGCGCTATCACCTCTCTCCAGGAGGAGCCCCTTGATGATTTCCAACAGCTGCACGGGGCACAGGATATTAGTATGGATGATGACGGGGAGTCTTTGGAAATGGGAGAAGGTTGCCTGCGCTCGTCCTGAGGACTCGGGCTCTCTCTCTCTCTCTTTGGTTTCCTCCATGAATTTTTATGCATGGAATGTGCAAGGGGCGGGCTCGAGTAGATTTCGGAGAGCCTTCTCTACTATTATTAATCAACATCAACTGGTTGTCGTCGCGCTCTTTGAGCCTAAGGTTAGCGGGGTTAATGCGAATGAGTTCGTTCGAAATTCGGGGTTTCCTCGCTCATTTCGCGTGGAGGCATCTGGTTTTTCGGAAAAGAATATGGATTTTGTAGAGGGAGAGAGCCGAGGTGAACATGTTGCAATGCCATAAGCAATTTGTTTACCTTCATGTAAAGATAGACGATAAGGAATCCTTGATTACGTTTGTTTATGCTTCACCGAATCAGTCAGGTCGGCGGGCTTTGTGGGGACAACTGAATGCGCTAGCTTCATACATTAGAGGCCCCTAGCTGATTGGTGGTGACTTTAACTGTATATTGCAGCCGTTGGAAAAATCCGGTGGTTCCCCTAATGGTGGAAGGGTGTGCAGCGCTTTCTCCGAGTGGGTCTTTAATCATGGCCTGCATGAAGAAAAGACTGATGGTACTAAGTTCACATGTGGCCGACGAGATCTTACGAAGAAGCTGGATAGGTTTCTCTGCAACGAGGTGTGGCTTGATCGATTTCCAGAGACATTCTTTCTCCACGCGCCACGGCTACAGTCGGATCATAGTCCTTTGGTGGTTCTCTGCACTCCTGGTGGGCATATAGACGTGGGGCAAAACCCTTTCGGTTCCTAGCCCCATGGCTTTTACACGACGGTTTCAAAGACGTGTTGGATGAGTGTTGGTCTGGTAATCCAGATTTCGTCGAAGCGGCCCAATCATTTTCCACAATAGCTAGGGACTGGAACTTTTGTGTTTTTGGCAATATGTTCCAAAAAAAGAAAACTCTGCTGGCACGAATAGGGGGAATTCAGCGGTCCTTACAATTTCACGACTCCCCCAGACTATCCCAACTAGAGAAGTCCTTAAAGGCTGAGCTAGAAGAGATTTTACTCCAAGAGGAGGTCCTCATGATATAGAAGTCGCGACGAGACTGGGCTCTGTTTGGTGATCGCAACACGGCCTTTTACCATAGACAGGTTAAAGCACAGAGGGGTACAAACAAAATTGTGTCCCCAACCGATAGCCATGACCATCTGGTAACGGACCAAGAGGCCTTGCAGCAGATGGCTACTACCTACTTCAAGTCCATTCATGCGGCTGATCAAACGTCTCTCCCGTCTTCCCAGGTTGTGGCTGCCGGGTCAGATTTCCCACCTCTAAGCCTCCAGGCTACGAGTTTACTCCAGCGGGAGGTTTCGGATGATGAGATCTTCCGTGCTCTTCGGGATATGAGCCCATTAAAGGCCCGGGGGCTAGATGGATTACACGCATTATTCTTTAAAAGCCAATGGGAGAGAGTGGGACCGTCAGTTTTCCATCTGATCAGAACGGTGCTTTATGGCGGTGATATGCCGGAGGGTGTCGATAAGACCTTGATTGTGCTCATTCCCAACAGGATCCACCAGAGACAATTAAACACTTTCGTCCAATCAGCCTATTAAACGTGGCCTATAAGCTATTGAAAAAGGTATTAACTAATAGGCTGAAGCCTCTTCTCCCAGGCCTTATCGGCTCGGCCCAATACGGGGTTCATGGTGGTTAAGGTTGATTTAGAGAAGGCCTATGATTTCCTACGTTGGGACTTTGTCAAGTCTACTCTTCTCTTTTCCAGACTCCCTCGACCTTTTGTGACGGCCATAATGAAGTGCATTACATCTGCGTCCATGCAAATCCTATGGAATAGGACCTCGAGTGAGGAGTTTAGGCCGTCTAGGGGGGTTCGGCAGGGCGACCCTATTTCCCCTTACATGTTCGTCCTTTGTATCGAACGCTTAGCGCATGCCATTCAGCGAGCCGTCAGCGGAGGATGGTGGAGACTGATCACATAATCAGAACTTCGACAAATTTTCAGAATTTTTCAGCTTCAGACCAATTTATCACAATTAAAACAAATTCGGGCGGAAACACCAATTAAATTATTAACCCTACTAAACCTAGCCCAAAAAATTTAAAACTTTTATAAAACACATAAATATACTAGAGACATATCATATTCGAAATTCAGCCAAATTGGAGCACCGCAAAATTATTTATGCATTTTACAAGAAACTGAACATAAATTAAATTAATTTTTAAAAATAGTTAAGGACCTTTAAAAATCACGAAAATTTTACACAAGCTACATATTCATCAAAAACAGCTGCACCTAAAATTTCAAGACAATCCGACCAGTATTCAATTTATGGTGAATTTTTCATTCCAAACAGCAATTATAACTTTCGAAAAAAATCATAACTACCAATTTACAAGGCCAATCGACACAAGGTCAGCGCCATTGTGTTCGAAATAATCCTAAGTTCCTAAATCCATAGAAACTAATCACTTACGATGAGTTCTCGTTCAATTCATGCGAATCGACGAGTTTAACATAAAATATCGAATATATATACATAATGAACAATTCAAACACGCATATAATAATTCAACGAACACGTAAAGCACGCACGTTCACGACATAATTCACGTAAAATTAAACGAGAAGTCGAGACTCGATACTGTTCTCGGGAAATGAGCGAGAAAGGTTCGAACGAGAGAAGACGGCTCGATGGGGCTCGACGGCTTCGCGCGGCTCGCCGAGGAGAGAGCTGCAGTGGTCCCTCTCGATTGCGGGGTTGCTGCTATGGCCGAGGCATCCCATCGGGAGTGCTGCTGCTACGGAGGAAATCCCCGGAATATCTCACGAACAGGGAGCGGAGTGCTCGCCGAAAAGGGGCAGCGACTTGCTGCTCGTCTGCGACTGAGGAGGGGAGTTCGCGAGTAAGAAGGCGAGACTGGTTCACGGCGAGGACGGGCGGCGCTCAGAGGACTCGCGAGCAGGCAGTGATGGTGGCCGCCGGAAGTTGCAGCGACGGTAAGTTGCGGCAAGGCCGATGGTCGGCGGGTCTTTGCGCGAAGAAGCAGGTTCATGGCGTGGCGTGGTTCGCGGCGTGCAGGGGAAAGCGATCACAGCGGCTCGCCGAAAAGGAGGTGGGCTCGTCGGTTGCTGGCGTGCGGAGGAGGCTGCGCGGATCGCTCGCCGGAAGTTACAGGCGCTGGGGTCGTCGCTCTTCGTGGAGGGGGATCATCGAGGGCCTGCTGGTTGCGGCGGAGGAGGGTTTCGCCGGAAAAAGAGGAGGTCGCGGCGGTGGTCGTTCGCTGCGCTTGGGAGATTGCGACGGAAAAAAAATGGGGAAGAGGGCTGCGCGATTTCTGATTGGGCTTGAGAGAAAGAAAATTTGAGCAAGAGGTGTGATCGATGAGATCGATGCGAGAGTGAAAGAGAGAGATTGAGGCTGCGGATTGTGTTTGTGTCCAAGGAGAGAAATAGATACAATTTATATATATATACACATATGATTAGGTTTACTAATTTCTTGACCTTGAAGACAAATTACACAAACACACACGCCCACATAAATAGAGAAACCGGGTCTTGGGGCGGGTTAGGCTCGCGGGCCGGTTTGATTGGGCCGGTTCATACGGGTTTTTGCCAAATAGCTCGGCTCTCGGGCTCGGTTTAATCGCACGATTAAAATAATAATCTCCGGATAATATTTATACGCATTAATTTTATTTTTAAAATAATAATATTAGTAATCAAAATATACAATTAAGCAATTAACGACATTTAGACATTTAATATTAGACACTCAATATTAATCTTAATAACATCACAATAATAATAAACACCAATAATAATAATAACACTTCAAATAAACCACAAATAAATGGGGCATTACATAGGGTTTAGGGTTACCTCACCTCCTTTATATAGGAGGGGATACTTACTTGAAGTCTCCAAAATACCCCAGCTGACCTACGTAAAGGGTCCAAAATCCCTCGGTCAGTTCGTCTCCTCTTGCTGCTGAGTCATCACAAGATTCCCCTTTATTCCCTAGAGGATGTAGAGCTTTAAGTATGCTGTAAGTGTGATGAGTCGTCCTCACTTCTTTGGTCTTCGAGGTATAAAAAACACCCCGAGAGCTTGGAAGTCGATTCATGATCATATGAGGATTCGGAGGCTACGCTTGGTTAGTTCTCTCCAGTGAGAGTCAACTTTAGAGAATCGGCTTAGTGAAGTCGACTGCTGGGAGTCGACTTAGGGTATCTGAATGCTCGGAGGCTACGCTCTTGTTGTTCTTCTTAGATAGATGTCGACTGTAGGAAGTCGACAGGCTGAGGTCGACCTCCGAGAGTCGACTGGCACGGTTTACGTCTTCTCTTCGCGGTCGTTCTATGGAGGGTCGACTTTGCAGAAGTCGATTTGAGTACGTCGATGGGATCACATCGTCATGTAGATGGTCTGAGTTATTATCTGGTTGAGTAGAGAGTTTCAGAACCGGTATATGATAATATGGCTATAATGCCAAAGACAAGGTAACTTTGCCAATAAATCTTTCATGCCATAATCATATGATTAACACCCTAACCAGCATTTAACCACAATTTCTTATCATAAAACATGATAACAATGTCAACAATATTCATCGGAGACCACACACACACACATATATATATATATATATATCTCATACGAATCCGAACAAAATCCTAAAATAATATAAACGAGGCACTCTACACACCAACACATATACCCTCGCATAAAATAATAGGGGTGTTTTAGCCACTTAACATGAATTAACATGATATCAACCCAACTCAACATAATTCACACAACAAGCATATGAATATCACTCAATACAAATATTAACTGAACCCTAAAACATGATTTCTAGCATATCATAACATAAGTTTCAATAGGAATTCCCAGCTTTTAACCAATCACATAAACATGCTTTACCTAATGTTAGTGTTATTTTTGTTATGTTTTTATTAATATTTTTTATTATTATTTTTATGTATTTTTAGTAAGTTTGTGGGATTTTTGGTAGTTTTTAGTTTTATTTAGTAATTTGTAATATTTAAGTATTTGTGTGGAATTTTGTATATTTTTCTTGTATTTTTCGAGTATTTGTAAAATAAAGGAACGGTCGAAAATCTCGGAAGAGCAGGATTTTGGAAATTTATTGAGCATGATCACATTAATGGAAAGACGAGCTTGTTAGCTACACACAGGAAAAAGCGGAACTCGATTTCGAGTTCGGATGAGTTCGTAAGGAACAGAAGAGTAAAATCGAGCGAGTTGCCGACACCTTGGAAGTTAAAAATCCTTAGATAATTGTATTCTGGGTGAAATTTGTATTGGCATACATCATTGAATAGAGGGGTTCGTTAGCAACGCGTAGAAAAAAACGGAACTCAATTCCGAGTTCGGACGAGCCCAAAACGAGCCCGAGAAGCAGAGCTGCCCGAGACGTGCGCGAATGCGCGCGGAAAAATTCATTCTCGGATTTTGTCCGAAAATTCCAACCTTTCTCTCATTTTTCCTATCTTCTTTCACCTTTTCTTGCATTTTTCTTCATGGTTGAATTATTGTTGAACTTTGGTTGATGTTAGTTGATGTTAGTATGCTATTTATATCTATAATTAGCAACATTATCATAAAACAAAAGGGGAGGAAAAAGAAAAGGGAATTTTTCCATATCATTTTATCTTTCCACATTTCTATTTTTACTACATTTGTAAGTTTGAATTTGTAAGATTAAATTGTTGAAGATTGTTGAAGTTTGGACATTAAGTTTGCACTTGCTCTAGCTTGTGGATTACTAGTAAGTTTTCTTTTTATTTTATGTTTATAATGGTTTATTTACATAAGAATTTGTATGTTAAAATTACTATGAGTAACTAATTTCCTAACTAGGGTTAGGGGATAATCGTTTCGGTTTATTATCGTTTATAAGTATTTTTATTGCTCAATCTTTACAAATTTTATTAATATTATGGTTAAATGTTTGATCACCATTTTAATCTACATAATCGATTTCATAACCGAAAGGGGCGAAGTTGATAGAACTTGATTTGTTTAGAATAGACATGTTCGGAAACGTATTGTTTATGTGTTAACCGTTCCACTAATTCATTTATTTAAGTTTATTCGTATATTACGAGAGTTAGTACGGATAAACCTCTAGATGAGTAAATTAAGTGAATCGTTTAACTGAGTAATTTAATTACCGATAAATGTTAATAAAACCGGAATTGATTATCCCCAATACCCTAGACTTTTACATTTATTAAAACTTATCTTTGTCATTTTAGTTATTCTCTTTTCTTCCTTAAAACCTTATAGTTTGAAAGTATTTAACTAGTAGAACAATTTATTTGTTTGAAAGTTTTTACTAGTAGAACAAATTTTAGTTTGAAAGTATTTACGAGTAAAACGATTTTATCGTTAGAAAGTATTTACTAGTAAAACGACTTTATCATTTGAAAGGTTTTCCGAGTAAAATGATAGCATTTATGTTACTTTTAATTTAGTTTAAAACCCCATTATTAAATTGAATTAGAATGTTTAGGAATATTTTCTCTTTTGTGAATTGAATAAACATACAATTTAATCCGGCTAACCTTCCTTAGAGAACGACCCGAGTCGGGTAACTCGGTTATTACTTGCCCAAAAATATTACCAACAAAATGGCGCCGTTGCCGGGGAAGGTTTAGGAATTATTTTGTGCGTCTATTCATATTTTTATTTTTTTTATTTTTTATTTTTTATTTTTTTTATTTTTCATTTTTTTATTTTTATTTTATTTTATTTTTATTTTTTTTTGGTTTCGCTTCATTCGTGTGAATTATTGTTTTTGTGTTTCTCTTTGTTTTTAGTTGTATTATTATTTTCGATGTGTTTTATAGTTTGATTTTTTCTCGTTAACAGGTGCTCGTAACGCATTTTTCTTGTTTTTGCATGCGTACTAGGAGTGGCCGAGTGCTCATTCCGGAGGACAAATCCATTAACGAGGCTTTACGAGACTTGTTCGCCAATCTTTCTCTTGAACCATCGAATTCCAACAATCAAAGTGAGATGGCACATAACGAAGAGGAAGTGAACAACCCACCACGGTATCTCCTCCGTGACTTAGCCCAACCGGTGATTGGGCCGGTGACTTCATGCATCCGGCTAGGACCAGCGGCTCGGAATTACGAGCTAAAAACCATCCACTACAATCAACTTCCGTCATTTCACGGCCTTCCCAACGAAGATCCGCTCCATTTTATCCGTGAGTTTTACAACGTTCTCCAAACTTTTCCACTCCATGGGCTTAATGAAGACCAACTAAAGATGAGGTGTTTTCCCGAAACACTAAAAGACCGGGCTAAGGCTTGGTTTATGACGCTTGCTCCCGACTCTCTCACTAATTGGGAGCAAGTTTATTCAAAATTCATCGGGAGATACTATTCTCATCAAAAGACGCAAGAGCTCCGATCACAAATTGTGTCTTTTGCCCAACAACCAAATGAGCCACTACACGAGGCTTGGGAACGTTTTAAAGATCTTCAAAGGCAATGCCCGCACCACAACTTTCCACCGGCTTTGTTGATGAACAGCTTCTACGATTCTCTCCACCAAAACCTTCAATACATGGTGGATAATGCGGCCGGTGGTGACATAGGAGCGAAGACGGCCGAAGAGATGATGGACATTTTTGAGACGATGAGTACAAACTCGTCTCAAAAGAGTAGCCGAGGAAAGAAAGTGATGGTCCACGAGATAGCTCCCGGACAAGATATGATGGCTCATCAAATAGCCGAGCTCACAGAACAAATGCGGCTACTAAATGCGAGGAATGCACAACCGGTACAAACTATGGCGGTAGAACCATGCGGTACATGTGGAGTCCACGGGCACCGAGCCGAGGTGTGCCCTTCCGCTTTCGAACAAAACTTTGGGGAGCAATATGCAGATGCCAACGCTCTACAAGGATTCCAAAACCGACCAGTAAACGATCCGTACTCTAACACATACAATCAGGGATGGAGAAATCACCCTAACTTCTCGTGGTCAAACAACAACAACACCCAACAAAATTTCATTCAACAATCGAATCGCCCGAATTTCGCTCCTCAACAACTCATGAGACCAAATTACCCCCAACAACAACCGCAAAGGGGCCCTATGGGAGGGATGCAAAACCAAGGGACTGGTCCAAGCTCGGGTACTCAAGACAACAAATTGGATAAAATCCTCCAATTTATGACGAATCAAGAATCCACCATCAAGCGTATCGAGACGCAAATTGGCCAACTCGCCTCAAGAGTTGGAAATTTGGAGGCCGAATCCAATAAAGGAAAGCTCCCAAGCCAACCCGAGCAAGCAAAGGCCATTACCGTTTTAAGGAGCG